TCGCACGTCGGTATTCGATGTAGGCTACGTACGTTTCCCGGACCCTCTCCTCGGCACCGCGTGGTGTATTCACTCTGCATGGCGGCGTATTGAGAATTGCTCAGTAGCGTAGCCAAAGGCTGACGGACAGAGACAGGAATTAAGACCCCCTCCCCCCTGTCCATCAGAATATTTGAGACCCAATAACCTAGGACGGCTGATGTCTGCCTTTTTTTTTTAATGGAAACGATGAGTTGTTTGGGTTCGAGAACTTTCGATTGCACCTTTTTGCCGCGGGTCGTGGTGTTTTGAATTCAAATAAAATCTAAAAGCTTTCATTTAAGCTTAATACAAGTTTTATATTTTTATAGCCAAAGCAAGGTCCCCTTGAATCTGGGCCTGACAGAAACGAGGCTGGCTTCGTCGCTAACACTGCTGCTTCGTACTGAATGCCTGTGCCTCCATCACAACGTCATTAAGACATAACACAGGAAGGACGTGCAATACTTTTTTTTTTCTATTTTAAAGACAAGGGGTGGATTGCCTAAATCTCTTCTCTAGCTACCACATCTCGAGCACACCTGTGATTCAGTTTACCCGCATGTCCAAAACCGCGCAAGGGGCATGGAATGGAAAGAAAAAATGGACGTAAAGCCTCGGCAGCGTCGCGTCTCTTTCCCGAGGCGAGGCAGACGGCACGTGTCCGTCTGGATTTCACCGAGACGACGGGTCTTAGCCAGGGTTTCAGCTCAGACGCGTCGCAAGAGCAAACGCAGTAGGGCATGTTCACTCTTCTTCCTTCGTTTCTTCCTTTCCCTCTTCCTTACCCTCCAACATGAGCGTAGCGTGAATGGAAAAAGAGGGGGGGGATCCTCTGGGATAATTGGTTATCATGCTTTTTCGGGGTCTTTTCCATCTTTTTTTTGGCTTTTTTTCTTGAAAAGTGGGAGGCACGTGCCCCCGCTTGCCCCTTATCGGATAGTGCTCTGTTCAAAAATCCACCCTTAGTTTTCGAATGAATTTTATTGTTTTGAAGAAAAAATCATGCTTTCGCCGCGAAATCATCCACGAACGAGTTGAGCTATCAAGCTCGTACAGTCCGTACTTTCGGCCGACTTTTCCGCAACGAGAGGATTTTAAAATTAAAAATACTCCTCGTATAACGAAAACAGACATGTAACGACTCGCGTACACACAGACAGAACGGAAATTAGGAGAGAAAAAACCGTGGAAGAAACACATTTTTAGTAGAATCTCTTTTGAAGTAAACAAGCTGGTGCTCTCAAAGGCTCAAAGTTCCCATGATTTACGAGGGGTGGAGGAGGAAAGAGGGCAGGAGATAACCATCAAAACTTCGTGGGTGACAGGGATGCCAAATGGGGATGTTCTACCTGACGACATGACTGACAAATCCACTGTAAGCCATTCAAGATGAATTTAGAACGCTGATTTCGAAATCGTAATCCGCCGCATCACTTGGAACACTTCACCTGAATCACTTCGAGTTTTTCATATTCACTTTTTAAAAGTCATTTATGACATGGAGTACGGTACAATAATGCGACATGCAGCGATTAAAATTTTCATTCTTCCGTTTTCCGGCAACTCTGAATTTTCCCAGAGGCCTAACACGTGTCTTTAATCCATGGTTTATGACCCGGCTTCAGGCAAGGAAAGAGAAACTCAAAATCGACGACAACGGCTCCATGAGGAACGGTAGTCGAATGCTATTACCGCCTCGAGTGACTCGTATCCCTTTCGAATGTGAGAATCGGGCCTTCCTGCAACGATACTGACCCGCACTACCTGTTTGATTGGCATAGAAGCTGATGGCTGATAGGCCTAGTCCGACTTTCACAAACCATTTCTGAGAGGGCGTGTACTAGGCCAATTAAGGGCCTATTTTGAGTTTAGAGAGGGCGCGTAACGTTAGACCCACCTGACGTTCTTCGAACCCTCTTGACTCGGACATCTGGACAGACTGCCTCCAAATTTCATTGCATCCTGTTAATTCAGGGATGTCCTCGCGCGAATTGCACATATCCCACCAAATCCACCAACCACCGTAAGCCACTGTTTCATTCTCACCTCATCTCATGGACACCGCACAAAAATGTATCAAACGCAAAGAAAAAGAAGATCCAGGCTCCAATACGAAAGCAGCAGTCAAGAATCCGACGTAACTCCAACACGATATCCGGCAACCCTGAAGAGCGGGAAAGAAGCACGCACGCTAGGCCTAAGTAAGCGACACCTAACTTCATTCACAGCTGAATGGTGCACCGCCAGCAGCAGAAAGGTATCTCTCTCTCTACAAGTTCATATCTCTTTTTCGGATTATTCATATCTCCTTCGAAAACGCCCAAGGAGAGGCGAGTGGCTACCCAGGGGTGAGGAATTGTGTTCAATCCAACCCCGGAGATTGAACTTCAAATTTGCTGGAGCGATTCGGTGTTCTGGAGGCACGAAACATGCCAAATTTCGTTCCTCCGGTTGTTCTCCGAGGTGAATTCTCGGGATATTCAATCTTTACCCGGGTTTTCTCTGGCATTTCTGGCGTGATTTACGAAACACCATCTCTTGCAAACTCGCGTTCCAATCGAATTGTTACCTAAAGATTCTTTTGGGAAAAAAATTGTCAAAATTTTCGTGGAATGAGAGCCACCGAATTCAATTCCGCAAATCACAAAAAACGCAATTTTGCTTTTGTAGTTTTTGTAGTTATTGTCTGCTGGAAACCTAATTAATTTTCCCAAAGTAATTTTGGATGAATGACTTTTAATTCCCCTTCGATAATTCGTTGAATTTCGCACTGCTTCTTCAACATCCGAGAATTTATCATTCTTGGGACAAAACTTTCTCCGACGTACCGTTTCCCTTAATTTCGCTATGAACTCAAATTTGCAATAAGAGGCAAAATTTACCCAGCACGGTTTCTGACGTCATGGATCCCATTGGATAGACATCGACCAGAGTGAGTATTGAAATTTTTTTCGCTGCAAACCTGCCATCTGGCATTTACTCGAATAAACAAGGTTTCCCGGCTGAGAAGGGAGATGGCGGTTGAATCGCTGCTGTTGTGAGTCACCCCCGGTGAGTGCTAGAACTATTCCCCATGGAGGCGATTTTTCTTACAAAAATTCTTAAGTCTCGTTCGCACTGATGCAAGAAAAGTAGCAAAAGAAATTAATTTGGAAATAAAATTTTCGAAATTTCCCAAATTTTTTATTTTTATTTTCGAAGAAATCTCCCAGAGCATTGAAAGTCTTGCGTTCAAAACTTTTAAAGACGTCCTCACCTCGAAAGTCTTCTTTACGAGTCGACTTGCAAAGAAAAATTGCTTAGAAAACTTTCTGGTGTGGACGAGGCGTTAGTCTTGTTAGTATTTCCATCTTTAAATGTGATAGCGAAATCTTGCGCATAGGCTTGGAATAGCCCCGAAAGTTCTAAACGTTAGATATTGAGTCCCAAGCGCTAAAAGTCCTTTTTTGAATTCGTAATACCCTATCAAGAGCAAAAATAAAGTTTAAATTTAAAAATATAATCATAAAAAAAGAAAATAAAAAGCAAAAATGAAAAATAAAAAATATAGGAAATGAATAAAAAATAATAATAAAATAAATGCAGAAGGCTCGGAAAGCCGGAGCAGAAGCGTCTAGCAGAATCCCCAAATTCGAAGATAATGCGGATGGAATAAGTTGGCTCCAAGGCGGACGAGTAATGTGGAGAATCGGGTTCCCACTTACTCGAGCCTGGTCTGTGACAGGACTCACATGGAGAAGGCAGAAGTGAATATTGGCGTCGAAGAGCATCATGCTTGTCAGTCGTTCGTTGCCCGCTCGAGATGAAGAACTCTGTGACCGCCACTGAGTTGGCGATATGTGACGCCAAACGGATTTCGTTTCCTCGGTATATGTTAACTTTTGATACTAGTATGATAAATAATTTTGATGTTACCGTTTTCCCTCTGAGAAACTCGGTTTACTTCTGGAGACGCAGGTGCCGAATTGATTACCGAATTGCAACCGAACTCGACCGATCCGTGAGTTTTGCGGAATCGGACAAGAAGTGCTCGACGCCACGTCATTTTCCAATTTCTTCTGATCTGATCGTGGAAAGGCAATTATGTGATGGTGGCTGTCCGCAGCTGGTTTCCAATGATTTTTTTTATGACCTGGAAAAATAAAACCGGAGTCACGCTGACAAAAGTGAATTGTTCTTCGTGGAGATTATGTCGGGAGAAGATAAAACATTTTTGCACAGACGGACATCATGCATAAGGTATTATCATGGTTATTATCTACCTACTGCAGTGTCTCTAATGCCAATTTTTTTCCCGAGGGACGATTGAAAATAGAGATGGGGGAAGTACCAAATTTAAAAAAATATGAGGTGCGTTCATGGTATCTCGATAACAGCCTCGCTTCGAGACACCTCTTGCAGGACGTGCCGATCGCCTAAGAACGAACAATGGCTTCATCGTGTGAGTTGCATGGATGATGGACCGTTCTGCGAAACATGCGGGGGGGTAGTAGTGGGAATTCTGCTCTACACATGTATTACGGCACAGAGACAGGTACAATAGCTCATGCAATAGTAGTAAAAAATGTTTTTAACTATGTACCCAAGCCACTCATTACCACACATATGTCACTTTTCCGCATAGTCCAAAATCATTATAATTTGTTATTCCGAAATTGTCCCCTCCCCTCCTTGTAGCTTCTACTATCGCCTTTGGCGTTTGACTGATTCGCAAATTTCCTTGGGAGCTTCCGCAGTGAATTGCATCCCTTTTCGTGATTGAACATCTCGACATGTAGCCCCTACCGAAATAGATATACTGGATCTCCCGTAGGTAATTTTTATTTCATTTAAAATAAGCAAAAAAAGACTATTGGTTTCCATCGATGAAGCTCGCGTGGATCAGCCAGCGCCGAGAGTGGCAGGTGCGTCGAGCGGGACCGGGAGGTCAATCGGGTCCGCCATGGTTGTCGGGCGCGCGTCCCCGTCTCCATGGCAACGCCTCGATGTACCTTCCTCCTGTTCCCTCCATGTTCACGCTCGCCTCATTCCACCTCGTGACTTGGTCTCTATTCGTTTGGATCATCTCGGTGCGGAAGAATGCTGCTGCAGATCCCGCAGTTGAAGGACGGAGAGTACACTCGGACCATCTACAGCCTCGTGAGTCTCGTTACCAAAATTTACGTGCGATAGGAGTCACATAAAGTGTCTTTCAGAGCCGCACGTACTCGGGTAGGATATGAGGAATTTGTGGATTTCGAGCTCACTTGAACAGTTGTACAAGTTTGGTATTTAATGCAAATCTATTTTAATGTCTCTCTTTGGGCATCGAAGTGGATAATAGCGCTGCCGGAATGCACATTTTCTTCCTGCAGATCAAGGAGCAGCGATATAATGAGGCCTGCCAGATCCTCTCCTACATCTTGGAGACTAATTCGAGCGTGAGTGCACGATCCATTCGCACTTCCTCGAAGGTAGAACTGAAAGCGTTGAGTGCTAAAGCCGATTCTGACCCTGACAGTCTCGGGCCGCCCTGTCCCTCCTGGCCTACTGCTACTTCTACATGCAAGACTTCGTGCATGCGGCCAACTGTTACGAGCAATTGACCATTCTCTACCCCGAGATGGAGGAATACCGGCTCTACTACGCCCAGGCTCTCTATCAGGCCAGTCTCTACGACGAGGCCTACAAGGTCACCTGCCAGATCGAGGACCCGGAGTATCAGGGCAAGGTCTGTTGCTCGAGATGAACTCATGGCTTCCCGAGGAACGAACCTTTACTCAAGTTTTTTTTCCTGCAGATCACCAAGTTGCAGGCAGCCATCAAATATGGGGAAGAGGACCTGGCCGGCGCCAAGAGTCTCGTGGATCAGTGCCCCTCCGATGATCCAGACACCGAAATCAATCACGGCTGCCTCTTGTATAAGGTATTGAAAGCATCCGGTGGCTGTGTCATCTTGAAATGAGAAAATTATGGTTATGTCCGAGATGATGTGTGACATCTAATTTTGTTTCGTTCATCATCCTATCGATATTTTTATCTCCACGAAAGCCTCATCGGATTTGTGTAGGAACCAAGTATTAATAGAAATCTTGTAGTACCTATGGAGTTTCTATAGGGAATGTATGAGGTCTCATATGCGGCATAGGAAAAAGGAACTTAGAAAGTCCTATTTGCATTTTTTTAAAAGGAATCCTGTAGGTTTTCTATTAGAATTATGGATTTCCTCTTGAAGATGCACAGCTTCCTGCAAGACTTGTATAATCCTACAAGGAGTTCCACAGGTCTTCCATAACGTCTCTATTGGTAACTCACTGGATCCCATCCGACTCATACACTCCTGCAATGAGTCGAAATGGATTTCCTATAAGTTTTCCTTTTGAACATACACCTTTATACTGAACTTTTATGCAATTCCTGTGAATCTCTTCTTCCGTTAGAATGCCTTGCAGGACACCCAAGGTTTCCTGAGCTGCGTATAGGATGTTTCATAGGGAACTTAGTTCCTCACAGGAATCCCCCTTGTGCTTCGTAAGACATTTTCAAGGGTGGCAGGAAATCGCTTCCTTCTCCCATCCCGATACTACCTGCATAATTCAGTTGTAAAAATACTTGAATTTACGATCGTTTAGTTCATTTTTTTTTATCAGGAAAGTTAAAGGAAGAAATGGGAATGTTCGCCAGACGGGAGACAACGTGAGGGTGCAGAGGTGAAAGCCCTGATTCCTTTTTTATCTCTCTTTTTATGAGACTTGTGCCACACAAGTAGGGTGACCATATTTTTTTAAAAGGAAAATCCGAGACATTTTCCCTCCGTTTACAGGTGATAATAGGCCGATGAGCTGCTTGCTACAAATGAGTGGCACTGAAAGGAAAAATCGCTGGATAGTTTTCCGAGCAGGGCCGTACCTCAAAACCAGGGGCTGTTCCAGAGAAAACGGCCTGTCCCGGTTTTACCGGGACGATCTGGCTACACACGAGACAACAAAGGTTTACAATTACAGACAGGAATGGGGTGCCTGCTTGGCATTAGCACACCTGATATCACAGTCTCTCAGGCAGGGACACACCCTCACGGTCTTTTAAGAACTCTGGGGCAGCCCAATGGCTAGCCCGACAATTGGGACGAGGGATTTTTAAGGTGTACAACACCTGTATCTCCTAGACGTTGCATACAGAGTAGCATGTATCACGCTAAGAAAGGAGGTGGATCCCCTATCGGTGGAGAAAGAGCAGCGTGCTCTTCCAGGACTCGTTTCATCGCACCTCTTGTTTCACCTGAGGCTCGAACAGCTCAGCCACCGAACCCATCGAATGCCCTGCTTCGCTGGTTCTCCCCCTTTTTCTCTTCCTTTCCCTGGGGCAGTTTGTGAGTCCTAAACTGAGGGCCGGTTGAACTCGAATGACCCTTGCCTCTCACGGATGACTGGCTTCTGTCAGTGAAAGGTGTGCCTTTAAGACTCATGGAGAGTCTGATAACTTACAAGAAGAACCCGACACCACATTAGCCTATCGACTGACCACATGGTGTATGTCCGTGGGTCGGGTGATCCTTGACTTTTGGCGAGATGTGCTGTAAAATATCTCTATTTTCTGTACTTCTAATCTTTACGTGTAAGAAATCGAAAACAGAGTATGCAATGTTTGAAACGATGCATTGAGAAGCAGCTCGTCATCCGCAATAGCAATCATGAAATGTTCGTTTTGTGTGGAATTCTTGCAGGAGGGCCGCTACGAGGAAGCATTGGGAAGATTCAACTTGGCCATGCAGGTATCCGGCTACATTCCCCATCTCGCCTACAATGTCGCCCTCTGCCACTATCGCCTCAAACAAGTTGCTCCTGCCCTCAAGCATATTGGTGAGCCCGCATGTGCAGGACGGGGCAAATGAGCATGTTGTCACAGATAATGCTCGAATTTCCAGGATTGGTATGAGGGCATCCATCCCGCTCGTTTTCGGTTTCGATATTGGGGGAAGCTGCTTGGTTAACACAACGGAAGCAGAAACAGCATTAGAAATGAAGGGCAGTAACAAAAAATTAATGAAGGAAAATAGTGGAGAACAATCATGATTTCATTAACAGAGACGAACCAAAATATATATAGAATATTAATAATGGCATAATTAACAAGTGAATTCCATGCTTGCATCAGCCCCTTGAGCTACCATGTTCATTTACCGTTTTTTAGTGCCCTTTGAAGCAACCAATTTATTTTATTCCATTCTACAAATGATTGGGCGTTCGCATAATTTCAGTGCAGCTTCATTTCGCCCTTCAGCCATGTGGCTGCATGCCATCTCACCTGACGTCCTTGTCCAACGCTCTTTGCGCTCAATATGAGCAGACGTTGCAGCCCCGGTTGCTGAGCTTTATCCAGTCTCCATCACTTCATAGCATGTGCCAAATGACCTCAGAACTCATGATGTCAGAATGAGCCAACATGACTTCTCAATCGATTGAAAGTGTCATACTTGTCAAAAATGACGACTGACGAAGTAACAACCCAAACGAAAATATAATTCTACTTTTAACGGAAATGGAAAAGTTTGAGTAACAAAAATAAGAAGTACAAATTCATTTTCTCTCCTATCCGTGCCAAGCAGCAGGAAACTTTTCATGTCTTTATAGAATTTCTACACAATTTCGACTTCGTTAGAAAATCTGGCCTCTGCATACTTATCACAAGCCTCCATACCAGTGGTCGGCAAATGTGGGCCAGATCCAGCCCGCAGAAGCTCTTCCTCTGGCCCATGAAGTCCCGGCTATCGCACATTACGGTCTGACAGTCGCCGTTCGCCTTGATATTTGACATTCATTGACTTTCAGACATTCATAAAAATTAAAGTTTTTAATAACACTTTAGAGGGGTTGGCCCGCGAACGTGCAGCATTCTGTCATCCGGCCCCCCATGAAATTCAGCTGCAAACCATTGCTCTATACCTTCATGCGCAAGCGTGCTATGAGAACTCGATTGATCGAAAATTTTCGGATACAAAGAGATATCCGTATGAAAGTAGGGGTAAGGAGGAATTGTAGGTCTGGGATAGAATAAATACTATGTAATACTTTGTATTCAATCCAAGAACAAATGCATTTATCGCACAGTACGTCTGTAATTATCAAGTTAGCTGGTTTGATGGGGTGAAAGGCAACGAGGGAATAAAGGCACTGCTGGGTTGGCCCGCCCAATCAGTACCTTCACTCAGCGCGCACTAGATGTCTCTCAGAGGGTGAATTGAGACCTGGCCCACAGATATGCACAAGAGAGCTCATTCGAAGCGCCAAGGAGCTCGTCCGTCTCCATCTCCGCATTAAGTCGCTTTTCTACGAATAACTAATACAGGTTATAAAATTATCGAGAGGATGAAGGGCAGAAAGTGATTCGAGTTGCTGCCATGTAAGAAGGGCTTTTCCATTTGAATAAGCAAAGTCCCTTTATCATCGCTTGTAGAATTGATGCATGCGTTCGAATCCTCATTCCCCCCATTGTGTGAGGATCGGACGCCGATGGTCCAACAGGGGTGTCAAACTGGTGGCCCGCGGGCGGGATTCCGCCAGTCCATTTTGTCCAGCCCGCGAAGTTCTCTACACTAGTTTCATTCGAAAAAGTGCCGCTTTCAACCTGCTTGCAGTAAATTTTAATGTAAGATTCGTCAGTGTGGCTCCCAATCTCCCCTGAAGGATTAATCCGGCCCCCGGCCTGATCCAGTTTGACACCCCGGTCCAACCAGACCAGCGAAAATTGGGACTCGCCCCCATCCACCCCAAACTCAACTGTTTCACCCACCATGCCCTACAGTCCATTCCCTGGTTCTCAACTGAATGTCTAAAGTATCCCTTATTCTCGTTCCGACCTCCTCAAACTCTGAAATATTTCCGCAGCGGAGGTAATCGAGCGAGGAATCCGGGAACACCCAGAACTGGGAGTGGGAATGGGAACGGAGGGAGTGGCGGAGAGGTCGGTGGGGAACACCCTTACCCTCCACCACACGGCGCTCATCGAGGCCTTCAATCTCAAGGCTGCCATCGAATATAACCTCAAGAATAGTACGTCACTTACTTCCATCCCTCGGCCGCTGTGAGGGCCATATATGCATCTTGTACGAGTTGGCGTAAGAAAAAAGTTGCACGACCAAGTGGATGCGCTATTTCTGGAACGTCTGATTAAGTTTTTTTGCAGAAAGAATTTTTATCAGGTTCTTCTCGGATCGCACAGATTCTTGTGATAGAATTCCCATTCTGCATGTTTTCGACGTGCTGTATTCACCTTACAATCCATGGCGCCCGCGAACGCATCATCGAAACGAAAATCCCACAGGTGACTCCGCCCGCGAGTGCCTGACGGACATGCCCCCCCGACTGGAGGAGGAACTGGACGCGGTGACCCTCCACAACCAGGCGCTGTTGAACATGGACGGGAAGCCCAGCGAGGGGTTCCAGAAGCTCACGTTCCTCCTGCAGCAGAACCCCTTCCCCCCGGAGACCTTCGGGAATCTCCTCCTGCTGTATTGCAAGTACGAATATTACGACCTGGCCGCCGATGTCCTCGCCGAGAACGCCCACCTCACCTACAAATACCTCACTCCCGTAAGGGACTGGCTCCACGTATTCACCTGGACTCTTTCAAATGCATGACTAGGGGAAAGAATTAGTCGTAATGATAAAACAATTATAATTAATGATGATGACCATTTTAAATTACCGTCGTGAATTCGACCATTCATCATATATGATAAGGATATGATGGAGCAGATTCTGTACAGGGCAATCAAAAAAATTTTCAAAAAGTTTTGATCGATAGAAAATAAATTGCAAATGCAGCATTGACGTACAAAATCATAATCAAGAGTACTTGGAGCGATATCGAATGACCAGTTCGTCGAGAGCCTGGAGCCTTGCAGACGATATAAATTTTCTCTCTTTTTTCAGTACTTGTACGACTTCCTGGACGCGCTGATCACGCAGCAGACATCGCCCGAGGAGGCCTTCCGGAAGTTCGACGAGATGGGATCGCGCCACACGGAGTCCCTGCGGCGCCTCACCAAGCAGGTCCAAGAGGCCCGGCACAACCACGACGAAGACGCCGTCAAGAAGGCCGTCAACGAATACGAGGAGACACTCGACAGGTCAGCCGATCTCGACGGAACTCAAACTGGGCAAATCCCAGTCCAGTAGCGAGCCTCTTTTGAGTCATAAGATCCAGCAAATTATATCAAGAATAAAGGGAAAAGAAACTACTCCTCTTCGCGTTAACCTATGAGAGATAACGAATTTCACGTTTTCTTACAGTAAATTTTTAAGTTAATACATTGTGAATTGTGATTTAAAAAAAACTTTGATGACATGCGAAGCAGTAGTATTCCCGCAAACGTTCAGCACTTCGTTCTAAAACACACAAGGTGGCTCGCTAAACGAAACGAGAGCTCGCCTGTCCAAAAAAAAAAAGCAATTAAGCGAAACACCGAGTCGTTATGCATATGATTCAGGTACATCCCGGTCTTGATGGCCCAGGCCAAGATCTACTGGAACCTGGAGAACTACGCCCAGGTGGAGAAGATTTTCCGGAAATCCGTCGAGTTCTGCAACGACGTGGACGTGTGGAAGCTGAACGTGGCCCACGTCCTCTTCATGCAAGAAAACAAGTTCAAGGAAGCCACCGGCTTCTACGAGCCCATCGTCAAAAAACACTACGACAACGTAAGGGGAAGGAAGAGTGTGCTTCTTTTCGCTCTGTTTCGCGAAGTGAATGGTGAATTATTCATAATACAAGTATCCCTACCATTTTCTGATCACCTTTTGGGAAAGGATTTATGGCGCGTATCTGATTAATGTACCTAAGTATTTCCCGTAATATTCATATTACTGGTCGATATTACATTTCAATAACATTTACTTGTGCTAGAGTTAGATGTCCCTATTTTTCTTTTGTTAAGAAAAATAGGAAAACTTAGTAGTTTATTTGGCACTATAGAGTTTTTTTAAAGTTTATATGTCGCTTTGGACGTCTCATCGCTTTGTACCTTTTGGTCTTGGAGTTGTCAACAATTCTAAGCTCACCAAAAGCTCAATGTTTTGAAGATTCTGGGAGTGAGTGCAATCGTGCTGGCGAACCTGTGCGTGTCGTACATCATGACGTCCCAGACGGACGAGGCCGAGGAGCTGATGAAGAAGATCGAGAAGGAGGAGGACCACGTGTCCCTGGAGGACCCCGACAAGAAGGTCTACCACCTCTGCATCGTCAACCTCGTCATCGGGTGAGTCCCTGTCTGCACAAAATCCTGGCTTTCGAGGCCGAGGACCTCTATCCCACATCGAGATTGGCAATCACCTTTGCATGGTACCTATTTCCTCCGTTCGACAGGGCGCTAAATCTCTCGTTGACAGCGACTGCAAACATGAGTCGATCCTTCTCCTACTGTAACACAAGGCCTGAGACATAGGGATATGTTAAATAATCCTATCGTTCAAAATCTCCCTACGTCTTCATGATAGCATGTGAGAGCCTGAAAAACGAATCAAAGAAACGTAAAATGAATCAATTATCCTGTTTTGCACCATATTGTCACCCAGGCTTGAGTATTGAGATGTCTACGATCTTTCTGCTCTGTCCAGGCCCTTTCATCGTTAACTTGAACGCCTCATATTCTCTTTCTTTCCCCACGAAAAGGACCTTGTACTGTGCAAAGGGGAACTACGAATTCGGGATATCCAGAGTCATCAAGAGCCTCGAGCCATACAATAAGAAGCTGGGCACGGACACATGGTGAGTCGATAAGTGCACCTATTTCGTCTTACAAACCGCATCGTCTGACCTCGAGGTCCAGAGGGCAAGCCCCCAAGGGCCTTAAGTTGCTGTAATACCCTTTGAAATGAACATATAAAATGGATTCACGCAGCATGTTCAAAGCATCGAACTTAATTTTAGACGACACCTCTATGCAATACTCGAAAATCTGTATCACTTTCTCAGTTGTGTAAAAGTAAACTTGTCAAAATACATTTACCTTTTAGCGCTTTTAGAGCAATCGTTTTGTCCGTGGCGTCCCCGCATATATACACGAAAAGGCAAATTAATTCGAAAAACTTCATTGAAAGGACCATACGTTGCAATACTTGCCGAATAAAGCCTCAGTACTTGCGAACCCCAACCTCGAAAGACGTTATGTTCATTGGAAATGTCGATGGGTAGAAATGCACTTCATTGGAGTTTCTACAAGGTTATTTTCAGTATTGTCATTACTTGCCATGAAAGATCACGACGGTGTTGAAGACAGTGAAGATGTGAATTGTTTAGGTTCTACGCCAAGCGTTGTTTCCTGTCACTGATGGAAAACCTAGCAAAGCACGTGATCAGCGTGAGGGACTCCGTGCTGCAGGAGTGCATCCAGTTCCTGGAGCACTGCGAAGGTCCGGTCATCTAATCTCTCCAATTCTCTTTCTATAATATTTTTAAAATGACTCTAATTTTCTTCGTCTTTTTCATTTTAGCGTATGGTGGGAACGTGAAGGCGTTGATCGAGCAGCCTCTGGAAGAGGCCTTGATGCATCCGGGTCAGAACACGGTGACTTACGAGGCGAGGCTCCTCAAAGCCCTTCTCCTTCAACTCCAAGTCTGCTGAATTTCTCCTTCGTTCGTCCACAACTCGACGGTATTGGGCACTGATGTGACAGTCGTTGATGGTCGTTGACAGTCATCGACAGGTAGTATCAGCGTCGATGTGTCTTTAAACCAAGTCAGGAGACGAGTGAATGAATATCAAAAGGACGTAAATGCACTTGAGCGAAAATGTGGGTGTTATTTTCCGATGTTTTCCCACCGACGATGAATGCGATGAATGTTCCCTTTCTTTAGGGAAAATGATGCCGCTGGATTGGAAAATTAAATAAAAAATGACAAGAATCGTTTTATTCCTCCAGACGACCACAATATGGCATGACACTGATATGATGATTGACTCTTGATTGGCACTCGTTTGCAATAATTATGAACTGCTTCCGATTCCCCGCGGGGGAAAGGCTAGTGCAGTCGCCTCCCCTCAAAACGGCAAAATGTCTTTTTAGGAGCTGCCAAAACAATCATCGAATGAAACCTCTCGTCCCGAATCGAGGGGAAAATCTCAATGAAGGATTCTGAATATCGGGGGCAGGAGTCCGAAACGTATGGAGGCGTGGAAGAAAAAATATGTAATCGCAAGGAAACTCGGATGAGGTAGCAGGTAAAAGGGACAACGAGCTGCATCTGGAAGGGCTATCAAAAATGGCAACATTTGGGACATACTGGAACGCGAACGTGGGCTTCTGTGGGGAATGGAACGAGGAATGGCCACATTCATCGACCGAAGCCTAAATGAAGCAAGTCGATGATTAATGACAGCAGCCAATCGCTCTTCGCTTTCACGGAAGCCCACGTCGACGTTTCATGAGCATTTTAAAATATGTTATTCGATCTGTATTTTTGTGCCGATGGCTCAGCTGGCGGAATCCGGTTTCTCCTCGGTCTCCTCCGTCTTTCGCCTCTCCTTCCCTTCTTTGCTGTGCCTCCATTTCATCCTTCGGTTCTGGAACCAGACCTTCACCTGCGTCGAAGGAGATTCCATGTAGGGAAAGCCAATGGAGGGCACGGATGTAGAGGGCACGGAAATGGAGGGCACGGAATTGGAAGACTTCTCGCTCTCTGTGCCTCATTAGCGTGATGGACCATGCGATATCTGTTCTCTTGAGTCTGTTTGCATGTCGCTGGACATTGTAATAACAGTTTATGCAAGGGGATGATGCGATGAGCGATGGGTATTTACAAGGCCCCTCGGACATGAGAGAATGAAATTCGACGCTCAGTTTTGGCTCAGCTTGCGTTCTTTTTCTCCTCCCTTTCTTCTTCGCGAGACCCCCCGCCGATCCGCTATCTTCATCACAACAATTATGAGGAACAGGGTTCGAGACTTCTGATCCGTTCTATTTGCACGAAACGCAATTTGCAATTTTATAGCCCGTCTCTCGTTCCTCCCCGATTTCCTACAGGCGATACATCCATCACCGTATTCCATTCTGCATGAATTTTATTCTTGCTCAACGTTTCCTCTGCTTACGAACGCGACTGTATACCAATCATGAATTATGCACTGCGTCCCGCTCGAAACTCAATTCCGAAAAAAAAAACTTTCACAGAAGACGCCTTCTCGCCCACAGGTTTCCACGAATCCTCTCCGCAAACATCTGCGCCAATCACAAAGTAGATGGCACGAGCTGGCGCCAAGCAAGTCGCCGAGGGCGTGGGCGAGCCATCAAAGCGTTCGCGATCTGACTGAGACTGCGATCAGCCGTCGCAGTCTCAGTCAGCAGACTAAGACCGCGAAATGGTTGATCGATTTCTCAGCATGGCAACAGCAGTGCATGTCTAATTCCGAAGTACGAGTTGAACCCCCTGCGGTGACGGACTTTAATGCGTATTGGGCTGGCGTGCACGCAGTCAGACGATCCGACGGCTAAACGAGCTAATCCGATGGCTAAACGAGCTAATCCGACGGCTAACGACGGCTAAACGAGCCGCAACGATAATCCTCGACCGATGATCGGCCGGGTTTTAATCTCGATCTCGCGCAAACCCATCGCAGTTTATTTTCTCAAAGTGTCAAACGCGACAAATGGAACGGCTATGAATACCTGAGCGTCTGTGAGGCCGAGCGTGGCCGCCAGCTGTCGCCGATCCGGCTTCGTGATGTATTTCTGGATCTGGAACCGTTTCTCGAGTCCTTTCCTCTGCAGATTGGAGAAAACGGCGCGGGACCAGGACCTCTTCCGCTTCCCGGTCGGGGGGGACGTCGACGCGGCCGGGAGGGCGGACGCGAGGGAGGACCCGAGGGCGGACCCCGCATTCAAGAGGGACCCCTCGCACCCCATCCACGCTCCCGGGTGGCCGTATAAACCTGCGGAAACTCGTAAGTCACGTATTTAAAGGCGAAACGTGGGGACGGGTCTTTTTGCATCTTGGGCAAGAGAAAACCTGTTCCTTCTTTTCTCTGAGTATTAAATTATATAACGTAATCCCGGCGTCGACGTCAGAGGCCGATGCTCGGAGGAATACGGGACCGATCTCTCTCGTTTCAAGTCGTCTCGAACAAGAATTACCGACGGAAACGAAAGAAATTCCTTCGGATCGAGGGAAACTTTTCATAACGGGCGTCTATGGGAATAAGTTCATATCTGTCAAACTGATTCCCATAGGGGACCATCGTCAGA